CCTGTCATATCATAAACAATGGAGAGATCTTTGAGAACTAAATAAAGAATGTTGTCGTTAAACCGGCTCTTTGGATCTATTTCAGTTATGTAACTATCTACACTACATTGCACTTCGTACCATTTCAAATTAGCTTCCGTCCCAGATCTCTTAAAATCTGCTTTTGGACCTTGCCACTGCCAGTCTGGGGTATATCTCCTGGTAGCCTTGGATCCGAGCCGAATACAAACACGTGCTTGGGTGCTTTATGCCTCCCGAGCTTTTTGCGGGTCCAGTCCCTGATTTCGTCGTCTGATGGGCAATCGTGGCTTTCCTCGAGGGTCAAGAACGCGCAGACAACTTCACCATAATGTTTATCTGGAAGCCCAACCACTGCAGCTCGCGAGATGGCTGGATGTGCTGTGAGTCGCTCTTCGATTTCTAGAGGATAGATGTTCTCTCCTCCCCTGATAATGATGTCCTTGAAGCGCCCCGTGATGCTACAATAGCCCTCAGAGTTGAACATGGCCTCGTCGCCGGTGCGCAACCATATCGTGCCATCCTCATCTTCTATCAGTGTTTCTGCAGTTTTCTCTGGGTTTTCCCAGTACCCTTTGTGTATTTGATATCCAGCCATGCAGAGTTCTCCCCGCTCACCCACTTTCACCGTCTCCCCCGTGTTGGGATTGATTATTTTGGCACTAGCATGTGGAAGAACTGTGCCCACCGTCGTGAGCCGGGTGTCAATCGGGTCGCTGGTAAACGCATTAAAGCACGTGGGCGATGCCTCAGTCAAACCATAGCTGCTAGTGAACTCCGTCATATTAAGCTCATTCCATAGACGTTTCATAAGCGGGCGAGGTACTGGGGCCCCGGCTATGATCCCCGTCCGAAGTTGTGAGCAGTCGAATGTGTCTGGTCTTGGGAGTGCTAGGATCGCCTCGAACATGGTGGGCACTCCGTGTAGTGCTGTGCACCTTTCGTCCGATAGCGCCTTCAATACGGCGCCGGGTTCAAAAGTTTCGGCAGGATAAACCACCTTCGCCCCATGAGTTATGCAAGCGAGGAGGCCAAGGACAAGCCCAAAACAGTGAAACAATGGAGGTGGACAACAGAGGATGTCGTATTCCGTGAAGTCCATTCGATCACCAATGAACCGCGAGTTGTTGATCAGGTTGCTGTAATGGGGTCAGTGCCTTCTGCTGTTAAACGCAAAGAGGCCAGAGACTTACTGATGTGTCAGCATTGAAGCCTTGGGATTTCCTGTTGAGCCACTGGTAAACTGCAGGTTGCAGACGTCGAATGGCGAAAGAGTGTCCTGCCTTCTCTGAACGGCCTTCATGGAAACAGAATTCCCCTCAAGGGCAACGGACTCATATGTCCTGAACTTTTTGTAGTTTCCTCGGATTAGTATCGTTTCTTCAAGATTTGGAACGCGCTCCGAAATATCGGGAGAGGCAAGGTCATCCAAAGCGTTCTCCAGGTTGCGTCGCCCTATTCGAGGAACAATGAATAGCAGCTTGCAAGCTGTTACTTATAGCCAATCAGCTAATTCATCCCAAAAATCAGCTTGGAGTATCTAGGGACAAACATGCCTGTATGATGGAGAGCGTATATCAACTCCGTCTGGGTATAGGTGTTGTTGATGACAACCAGGATAGCCCCAACACGGGCGGCCGCAAAAAACAGAGACACGTACTCCTCGCAATTGCCGGCCATAACTCCAATCCTATCCCCCCGTTGAATTCCTTTCGCCAGGAGCCCACGCGCAAGACGACCGCTCTCGTGCTCAAGGTGCCCATAAGTCCATCGTGCGCCGGTCCAAGGGATAACGACACACTCTAGATCACGATACTGTAGACATTGGAATTCAAGCAATCCGCCCAAAGTCATCTCCCAAAGGGCAGGCTGGGTGGGGCCATGGACGATGGAAAGCCTTTCTTCATTTTCACGTATGTGTTGTGGCTGGATATGATTCAACGTCTGCTGCAGCCTCCAGAGAGAAGAGTCATTCAATGTTGTCGCCATTATAGCAATTGCGTTTTTGTGTTTATTATACCCTTACACACCCCGAAGGCCCAATGTTGCATTTCTTTACAACAGCTTTTACATATAGTTTTTTTATTTATTCTTCATTTTTTCCCCCCTTCCTCCTTAAGGATTTGCCGCAGCCCGTAAGAGGTAATGCACCCCCTGTCAAGTCCATCTTGTCTAAGTCTCCCTTACCAGGGTTGATGGATTTGAAACATGCAAAAAAGAGAAGTTGATGGACTACTGTTCCAATGTCTCTAGCGTACTAAGCGTATGAAATGTTACGGTTGTGGGGGCATGTGGCAGTGCAGAGACTCTTCCATCCGTCGCGGATTCTTTATTACAGACAACACGAAAACGAGAGATAAGGAATCTAATCAATCAGATAATCTTACCAAACCCGTAATTTCGAGACAAAGTTACACTAGAGTGTCAGGGACAAAAATACACAAAAACAGCGATACATCGGTTGTATTTCCGGCTGCAAACGGAGTCCAGTTCTTCGGACCTCAGGAACTTTCACCCGGAGTTTTTCCCTTCTCAACGGACTCTCTCTCTTGCAAAAACGGCAGCTATTTTCTTTCCTTGGCCAGCCACAACAAGGCTTGTTGGCTTGTTAGACACCCAATCCGCCATCGTCTGAGATTTCGGCTTTTTGGAGAATACGGCCATAGTTGCTATATTCTGCTCTAACAATTTTGCAAATTGCGGTTTTACGTTACCGTCGCATCCTTGACAGGGCACGCGAGGTTCAACACTGTGATTGATGCATGGTATATGACACTCCAACAACATCAGGCGATGCCAATCGCCGGACCTAACCAGCAGTGTGTTTTTGCTTCAGCTAAGGGTTCTTAAGTTTTCGAATTCCCTCTAATTTCCCACCGGCAACGTTCGATTATTTGTTACGTTGACATCATTTTTTTTAATCACCTATTTTATTTACGCTGCTGAGATTACCTCGTACTATCCCTCTCACCATATTCACTACCATCATTCCCCATGGAGACCGTACTCAAGAACGACGATTCCCACCGACGGGAAGCTGTGCTCCTGCGAGAGAACAATGTGGAAGGGAGTTCTAATGGAGGCGGCCAGTACGACATAATTTGTGTTGGGTTTGGGCCTGCTGCCCTTGCTATAGCTATTGCTATGCGAGACCGTGGAATCCACCGTCGTGTTTTATTCTTAGAGAGACAGAGTGAGTTTGGTTGGCACACGGGTATGCTGCTCCCTGGCAGCAAGATGCAAATTTCATTTATCAAGGACCTGGCCACGATACGAAACCCTTGCTCTCACTTCACCTTCCTTAATTATTTACACCAAAAAAACCGTCTTGTCCACTTTACCAATCTCTCGACACATATGCCCTTCCGAGAGGAATTTAACGACTACATGAAATGGTGCGCCTCGCATTTTGATGACTGGGTTCAATATCAGCAGGAGGTGGTTAGTGTTGCTGCCGCGGAGGCTAGACCCGGTTGGCCAGCCGAACATTTCAAAGTTGTGGTCCGTGATGTGCAATCTGGAAGGCTCAGAGAGCTCTCTGCCAAGCACGTCGTCGTTGCTAGCGGAGGAGAGCGAGCTATTCCAAGGGAGCTTTCCAACAAACCTCTACCCAGCACTGTTATCCATTCCTCTGTCTATCTAGAATCTGAACAAAAGTTTCTCCGAGAGAAAGGCGGTTCCTACCGCTTTGCCGTCGTTGGTGGAGGTCAGAGTGCGGTTGAAATATCTGAAGATATGCAATCGAGGTATCCCAATTGCAAAGTCACCCTCATCACGAAAGCTTCATCATTGAAACCCAGCGACGATAGCCCATTGTGAGTTGCCTTTAATTCTGAATTGCAATTGTCACCGCTCTAATTCTAATTACCCAAACCCAAACCTTGATAGTGTCAATGAGATTTTCGACCCAAGCAGCGTCGACAGTTTCTATTCTCTGAATCACCCAGCACGCCAACAAGCTCTCCTCGAGAACAAAGCTACCAATTACGGGGTTGTTCGTCTATCACTTCTGGAATCAGTTTATGAGAAATTATATCGCCAGAAATTCCTTGATCCTAATCCTGCTAATTGGTCCCTGCGCCTGATTACTAGCCGTGAGGTTGTCGGCTTAAAAGAACTGCCAAATAACCAAGTAGAGCTCCACGTAAAGGACACGCAATCCGGGCAGATCGAGAGCTCTGGCGAAAGGTATGACGTAGTGGTCCTTGCTACTGGATATACGCGCAATCCTTTTGCAACTATGCTCAAACCCCTGGAACCGATCGTCGCGGCTACGGCAACCGGAGAGCAATATCACGTGGATCGAGACTACCGGCTGCGATTTCATCACGGGAAGGTCAAACGAGATGCTGGTATCTGGCTACAGGGATGCTGTGAAAGCACTCATGGTGTAAGGAACCGTTTTTCGCCGCGCTAAAACTATCCTCTTCGTCCACTTTGCTGACAATACTTAATGTTGAGCAGTTGAGTGACAGCCTTCTTTCCATCCTATCTGTGCGTAGCAGCGAACTGCTTGACTCCATACTTGCAAGCAGCAAGCGCGCAGAGAATTACGCACGACTATAGGCTTTCGCTTGCTATTACGGGGAAAAAGTTCTAATCTCGGGGTGACCGGTTTCCGTATAAACTTTACACTTGATTACCTCATGATAGCATGAGGTAAAAGTATGGTGGCCTTTCCTGCTTTAACGGCATACGTCAAAAATTAAGTCTGTAATTGTTGCATACATTCAACTATCGATTTATCCTTTAACTCTCTAGCGGGCCGAGTTTCGCTCTAGGTTTCGTATATCCTTTGCCATCCACACCTATTAAGAAAGAGAGTGTATTGTGTGAACCTTTTTGTTTTGTAATGGAGGTTGTTTACTTTTTAAAGGACGTCCATTTGTGGGCGTTTTGTTTAATTATACATAAGTTAAAATATTTTCTCCTTTTTATTCAGCTTTTTCTGTTATGACATTATCTGACCAATCTATAACTAGTCATAACTTGCAATCAGCAGAGTCTTCATTATTGGTCAACAACGCTCTCCCATCAGATAATACAACAGTTTCTCCAACCTTCACCACGAATCGCACTTCACGTAGCGTCTCGTTTTCTTGACATATACCCACTCCTCTATTCGACACTCCCATATCCCACATGAGGATATCCAATTTATCTCCCGGTTTTACCGGCGCAGCAAATCTTGCCTCAAAGTCACGCAGACGTGGGCCGTCGCTGTGACCATATCGAGAGAGAACTCTTTGGGCAGCAACATTCCAGCTGAACAGGCCATGCATAATTACTCCTTCATAGCCTAGAGCTTTCCCAGGCTCCGGAGTGGCATGAAGCGGATTATAATCACCACTAAGGCTACGTGCGTTGAGAAGTCGTCAGACCTTTTACAGGACATTCTTGTGGCAAAAGGGGGGAGGACTTACCGGTAGAGATGTGCTGTTTCCGCGTGTGTTTGGAAAATCGATACCGCGTCCGGCTTTCTTGTTGGACTTGGGGGAGGATACCGTGTAATTTTGGGGCCTGCATGTAGTTATCAGCAGTAGCACTCCAATTGTCGGATACACCTGGAGGCTCATCCTGCTCTCCAGCCCCCCCCCCCCCCCCCCCCCCCCCCCCC